CGGCGCGGGGGGGCGGCGAGTGGAGCCGCCCGCGCGGGGGAGCCGCGCGCTGGCCGCGCTGCCGCCTCCTCACCGCCTTGCTTTTTTATTATTCTTTTCGTTGTTTTTTTTTCCCCCCTTTTGTTTTTTCTCCTTTTCTTCCTCTTTTCCCCCCCTTTTTCCCCCTCCATTTTCCCCATTTTTTTCCCTCCATTTTTCCCTTTTTTTTTTCCCGTTTTTTTCTCCCTCTTCACTGCCGTGGAAGGGAGCCCCTTCCCCACTCGTGCCGTCCTTCCCACTCCACAGGCTTGGCTGACCTGCCACCTCGTGTCCCCCTGCGCCAGGGCTGGCGCTCGCGGCGCGGAGCCCTCCGTGTGCCCTCCCGTCCGTTCATCCCCGAGGGCAGCGCCGCGTCCAGCTCCCTGTCGGGGGGTGAATGGTGACTAACAGCCTCTCTCCGTCCCTCTTTTCCAGGTTATCTGGCGGCCTTGACAGAACCACGTATTTAGCACAAGATGTGCAGTTAGCCTATGGCCTGGATCGTATTTACATTGCTAGAAACACGGGGTGGGGAAAGTGTGGCGCTGGGGACGTCCCTGCTAAAGGTGACTCTCTAGGGACATTCATTTTTTCCCCTAGCAATCTGTATCAGCCTTTAGTTTTGGGGATTTATTGGTGAGCTGCCATAGTAACTTCCGTGGTGGTGGAAGCGCAAACTTGGCCACGCAAGAAAGAAGCCCTTAAGCCTGTGTTGGAGCCCTTAGGCTAGCTGCAGGAAGGTGGATAAAATTTTCAGACAACTTAACGTTTTGGATCAGTTACATTGGAATCGGCACTCTTTAGACTAAGGCTTGTGGGCATTTTTTTCTTTTTAAATATTTAAACAGAGACTTGTTTGAGAAGCCGGTATGCTTTTTAAAAAAGGGAAAAGAAATGCTCAAGGATGGATGCTCATGTGTCAGTTCATCATTTTTTACTGAATGACTATAGAAAACCGCTGTGCAAACTACTGAGTAGGCTGTAAAGAAAATCCTTTTATATGCATATTGCAGTGTGTTTTTTATAAAAGCAAATTGAGCAAATAATTTTAAACAGAAGAAAAATTTGTTTAACCTCTCCATTCTTATTTCTATGCTATTACATGCAAAATGAGTTACAGTTTTTACTTCCTGGAGACTGAAAGATTAGTTTCTTACTGAAAAGGCACCAAACTTGGTTTATGTGAGGCAATCAGATCAGGTAAAATTGATTTTTGTATTCGCAAGCAGGAAAATGCACACTCAAGATTTGCTTGATTAAAAGCTCTGGTGTTTAGCAATGGAAAGCCCACAAACAAACTTCCATCTAGGTCTAGGCTCAGACCAAAAAAGGACTGGGATCCAAGAGGATGGGAGCCCTCCAATAAAAAAAGTAATGACGGAAATGCATGTAAATAGCAAAGTAAGAGTTGTAATAAATAAATTGCCAACGATAAAGAAGGAAAACTTGGATGAATATGATGGAACTTCTGTGGAGGCTGATGGGGAAATCGCCAAGCCAAATAATACTGCGATATCCGAGCCTTTGAATTTAAATCCAGGTTTGAAGCACACGCTGGCACAGTTCCACTTAAGCAGCCAGAGTTCGCTGGGTGGACCGGCAGCTTTTTCAGCTCGTTATTCCCAGGAAAGTATGTCACCCACTGTCTTCCTGCCTCTCCCATCACCACAAATACTTTCTGGTCCGCTGCTCATTCCCCCTGACAGCTCCACTGAACTCACTCAGACTCTATTGGAGGGGGAATCTATTTCTTGTTTTAAGGTTGGAGGAGAAAAGAGACTCTGCCTGCCTCAAGTTTTGAATTCAGTGCTGCGAGACTTCTCACTGCAGCAGATTAATACCGTGTGTGACGAGCTGTATATTTACTGCTCGAGGTGCACGTCCGACCAGCTTCACATCCTGAAGGTCTTGGGAATCCTTCCGTTCAACGCTCCGTCCTGCGGGCTGATCACGCTGACCGATGCTCAGAGGCTCTGCAACGCCTTGCTGCGTCCACGCACTTTTCCTCCAAACGGCAGCTTTCTGCCCGCTAAGAACACGCTGGCCCAGCTGAAGGAGTCTGGCAGTGCCTTTGAAGTAGAGCACGAGTGTTTGGGCAAGTGCCAGGGGCTGTTTGCACCTCAGTTCTACCTGCAGCCGGATGATCCGTGTATCCAGTGCTTGGAGTGCTACGGCATGTTTTCACCGCAGACGTTCGTGATGCATTCGCATAGATCCCCCGATAAAAGGACCTGCCACTGGGGTTTTGAGTCGGCCAAGTGGCACTGCTACCTTCACATTAACCAGAAATACTTGGGAACGTCGGAGGAGAGGGAGCTGAAGCATCTCTTGGAGGAAATGAAGGAGAAATTTAGTGAGAAAAATCAGAAGAGGACTCGGTCCAAAGTAAGTTCACTTACTCTCATGAAACTCCTGAATCTCTTTCCAATAACAAGTAAATATTTATCTTAGAAGTCTGTTGTTTGTCTTGTGTAAATGTGAATGTTTGTCAAATGAAGTGTAAACTAAATTTATGAGAGTTCTCCACTCAGATTGAGAGCTGCAGTAATTTCTTTCCTCTTGGAGCTTCAAGTAATGTCAGTCTGGTTTGGTCCTGTTGGGTTTTGTTATTTTTTTCCAAAGTATGCAGTCTCTGGAAAAATGTAGAGCTATTGTGGAGTTTTTCTTTCTCCTGTTTGACCTTTGAGTGTGTTGTTTTAAACTGTGTGTTGCAGCAGCTGAGCAAAGCAGAAAGGAGCTTGAAAATCAGGTGTTGTAAATGAATTCTGCATTTGTTATGTTAACTCCAGCGCGTGCATATGTGGTGTGTGGCTACCTGGCTTGCTAACCACCCAGCAACATCTCATGACTTTGCATATAGGTTAATGGCACATTGGTAAGTTGCTATTTAAAAGCCCCAAGTCTGCTTGTTCAGTAATAGGGTAATGTTAAGCAGACTTTATAGAGAAATATGATGAAAGAAAGGGTTTTTAAATCACGTCAAGTAATGGGCTGCAGGACAAATGCCAGGAATGGACATTGTGGGGTATTTTTTTTTTCCTAAAAATACAGAGCTTATATTTTACCTTAGAGAGCTGCTCATTTAAATAAAAGACATGCACCAGAAAAATATTGAATATTGCTGGGGAAATTGTTGTATTGTGCTCAAGGAAGAAGATTTTAAGGTGAAATGATATAAGTCTCCAATATGGTATGTTTCCTCATGCCCAACTTGCTGGAGATGCAGAAAAGTTCATAGCAAGGGACCTTCACCTTCTGATAGGCTATCATGACAGTCTTAATTCTTGCAATGCTAGTACAGCTCATACACAGCATACAGAGTTTGCAGTAGGGAAATATGTATTCTTATGTATTCATTCCCATAGGAGCTTTCATGCTGTAGGCCTTGAAGAGATGTTATCATTTCACCTGTCTTTTGATGTGTGTGCGGGAGGTTCAGAAACAGGGAAGATCTCATGGTCAGGAGTCTATTACCGTGCAGCCAGAAGCAGTATTCTGGGAATGAATATGGAGGATTATTTCCCATGTTGCACCCGCGATATTATTTTTTGTTTGAATAGATTATGTTATAGATCAGGTCCGGAAGAAAGGGAAAAATGGTTTCTGAAGCCTTATGTTAGAGACTCGCGTGATTCTTTCTTTTAGAGCAGCATATGAAATCAGAATGATAGATAAACTCCGTGAAAATTGGAAAAAAACATAAAATGATGAAACGACTTATTATGAAATCAGAATGATAGATAAACTCCATGAAAATTTGAAAAAACATAAAATGATGAAATGACTTTTCCATTTTTGGGAGGGAAGGAGGGATGGAGAAGTGTCTCATAGGTATTCACCTGGAAAGTATAGAGTATGAAATAATTTAATAGATCAGAGTTTTGAGCAACACCTCTGACCCCTTGTTCTAGGGAAGGTGTGGTGTTCAGGAGTCTTGTCTTTTCCTGTCTTTTCCTGTGGTATGAGAGGTATTAGAGTGTATAGATGTTACCTTCTCTTATACTCTTAAGCAAATGTCTTTAGAGGATATCCTACTTGCTGGTTTATCGCCTTCTTGCCTTCTTTGTAGAAAAGCAGTAAATACTCTGAAGTTTGAGACACCTTTGAGGTTATCTCGAAGGGTCCAAGAACAGTTGCCCTTGGCCAACTGTCCTTCCCTCTATTTCAGTGATAAAAGTAACAGATGGAAGTAATAGCTTGTATGTAAAATAAGACCTAAAGCAGAAATGAGATACTCCAATGTGATAATAATAATTAATTAATGAAATTGACTTTCTCCTTAGCTCTCAGTTTACTCACCTCACAGTGAGTATACTTTAGCTCTTGGTGTTTTAAGAGTAGACAACCTATGTCCTTGCAGCTACACTTACAAAGTTAGTTCCTTTCTCTCCTTCGTGGTAATAAAAAAGCTGTAAGCAGTGTGTTTGGTGGTCATTGAGTTTCTCATCTTCTGTTGACCCCTGGTCCTCCTCATTGAAACAGCTCTCACCAAATCTCTGACATTGTCCGTGGTGAGAGACCCTCATTCTCTTTGACTTTGCAACAGTTCCTGATAATCCCTCTGTGCTACGACTTTGTCTTGATGCTTCAGCTAGTTCTTTGAGTTGGTCGTTACACTCACGATGTGTAGAGTTAACATCTCTTCTGAATATTTCTATAAATCCCACCCCTGCTTAAAAACTACTGCCTTAAGTGGTTGGACGGAAACTACCGGTCCATTTCTATGGAACTGTCTTTCCACTAAGCTTTTATCAGTTTTTCTTTCCTTCACATGGCAAATCTTGTAAGAAATGTACAGAATAAGCTTTCTGGGAATAGAAAGGGGCTCAGAGTTACTAGTTTGCATAATGGCCAGACCAGAGATTTTCTTTCTAATCCCTGACTGAAGCTTTGAGCATAGTCATAATACAACTGTGTATTACGACTATCTTCTCAGTTTGAGATGGATTTTTTTTTAATTAAGTTTCTGGATTGCCTTAAATAATAGCTCATATCACTAGCTTTGGAGGAAAAAGTAAAAAGTAAAACTTTTTTTTCCTGTAGACTTTTCACACAGATTAAGTAGAAGTAATTGTAAATTTACCAGATTGGATATATTGTGATGGTATAATAACTTAAGAACATCTAAACTAAACAGATACTTAGGTAGCAATATATACATGTGCATTTAGAAATAAAAGCTTCCTTATTCTACCAATCTGGATAATGAAGTAAGAATCATATGCTAGAAAAAGACTTCATGTTCGTTTTAGATTAGTTTCAGTTTTCTAAGTAAATTTTTTAGATTTTTTTTTCAAACAGTACACTAACTGAGCAAAGAAATCAATTTCCAATTGAAATAGGTCGTAATGTAAGTATTTTAAACTAATAACTTGAAAATACAGATCATCTGATATATAATTACATATATAAATATAAAAACATGTTAAAATGTCAGTCCCAAAAGCTGAAAAAGTTGCATTTCAGAAATACTGTGGGTTAAAATTGGGTTTAAATATAGTAGTTGTGTTATAACTTGAATTAATGTGCAATATTTAGATTATTAGAATGACCTGAATAAGCAGAAATGGGTTGAAATGGGTTTCAGACGAGGTCATTTTTCTAGAGATTATTCAGTTTATTTCTATTCTTCATTATTTAAACATTCAATTATGATTTTATTAACTTGGAGCATAGCTTCCTTGTGCCCTCACTCATTTATATCTGTTTGGAACTGACCTGAGGGACAACAGGGGTGGAGTTAAATTTAATTTTCTTTGCTAGGGCTGAATTTCCAGGACAGGAAGATTTCACCATAATGTAGGCTCTGGGATTTGCTCTTTGTTGTGGTCAGTTCTGCAGGGCTTGGTACCGGCTCAATCGTTCTGACTGGGTGTTCACTGAGTGCCAGAGATGAAGCTCATGGTGATTCCTTTCAGGGTGTGAAATAAACTTTTCTGAGTGTATATTATACTCACGAAACCTTTGAAGCTGTTCAGATGGTAGATGAAATTTTTTTAGTTAAGCCACCTGATTTTTTTTAATAATTATTTAATCAAAAAGAAAAAGAGGAAGAAGAATTCTTATTCACATGTGAAACGCACAGATGACTTAAGGTGTTGTATTCTGATATGTGAGAATGGAAATAGAGTTGTCATGTCAATGCAGCAGCTTTGCCTGTTTCTGTAGTAAAAAATTTTAATTAAGTAATTTCTGTGTTCTGTAACAAGTGTAATTACTTCATTTTACTCATAGATTTTCCTTTGTAATAAAGTATCTGGCAAGTGTATTTTAGAGGTGGATACTCTTGCAAAAAGTCAATGCTCACGCAACCTTTTGGAAATCCCAGTTTCTGCTTTGTGTTGCTCCAAACATTCATAGCACGCCTCTGGCAGAGTTTTTATGTGGACTCTAGAGTATTTATATGGGCTTGTAAAGAGTTTTTTCCGTTTTCTTGCATTGCTACTTTACCCATATTTGGAAGTTGGCAAGTGAAGAACCTCCTGTGGTTTGCATCCCCCTGTCCATCTGCCAGGGACTCTTCACTTCCTGGTACCCCGAGGTGTCTGCGCCGCCTGCCTTTGGGCTATTGTATAGCTGTCATTCCACTGAGCAGGATTTATTAAGATGTGAATAAAATGTAGTAGTCTTATTAGTGTTTTGGTTTTGTTCTTTAGCTGGATTCACAACAAAATCTAGAGCTGTCGCAGTGGTATCCAGTAATAAAGCAAGAAGCAGAAACTGCTACTCAACCACCCTCCTTTGTCCATCCCAGGTAACTAAATTCCTGTATAGAATATTGTGTAAACAAATTAAATACTTCTAAATGTTAAAGGTTATTTTAACTTAAAAATGTACATAAAACCTAGAATTTTGGAAAAACTCTTAAGAGATTGCACAAGGACAATCCAGTCTTTACTTTTTGTGTACTTTTTTTCTAAATATTAATGAATTGCATATGAGTGATTTTTGGTGTTGCACTCAAGGTTTCAGGAGGAAATAAAATGTAATTACAATTTCCCTTTATAAAGTAGAAATGGCAGAAGCTGATTCTTAATCCTTCGTATTATAACTTGCTGCATACATGTGAAAAGCTTCCCAAGGCCCAAATGCCATGAGCGCCAGTTAATTTCATTACAAAACAAAATGGTAAACGCTGTTAATTTACTAGTTTTAGAAAGCAAACACATTTCCTTAATGTAATACGTACTTTGTCATCTGCATCAGTGAGGCAAGCAGTGTTTCCTGACCCTCCTACTATGCAGTAGTTATGCATTTACTATACCTAGGTGAGCTCAGACTCTGGATCAAAGTGACACGTGTGCATCATACTAATTCCCATGCAAGTCCTTAAGTGATGGAGCTGCAGCGATGGTCCCCCAGTTTGCTGTTTCTGTCAGTAACTTTCCTTCAGAACCAGGAGAAAGGAAAGTACTGAAGACAGTTTGTGCCAATGCTGTCTTGTGATGCTCATCCTTTTTGCAATGACCTTAAGGGATTTGGGTTCAGTCACCTTTTAATTTCACTCTTTGGCGTTAAGTGAAGAATTTGATTTTTTCTTTTTTCTTTTAATCAATCATGTTAGAAAACTTCTTATTTGATATCCTTGAAACCACATGTGAATAAACTCTTCAGTAAAGGTTAAGTGGATCATGATGATTTCTTTTGACTAAGGAAAAACTTATGAAAGGAAGTACTTATTTCTCCTTGAAACTTGTACTGTTTGAAATCATGTTAAGTTGGAACGTGCTCTTATCATTCCTCATTTACTATAGCTTAGTTCTCATTTGTAATTTTACTGTTTTACTGTTTCAGTTACTACTTTTATATGTGTGATAAAGTGGTTGCCCCGAATGTGTCTCTTGCATCACAATATAAAGAAGTTGCAAAACCAGCAGTTAGAGCAGAAGTAATTAAATCCTCATCTGGACAGCCTGAGAAACAGCTCAGTAGTGGAAAACACAAAAGAGCTGCTTCCTATCCCGAGCTTTCCCTTGAAGAACAGGAAAAGGTTGACTTGAAAACTGGCATGGAGCAGCATAAACGTTTAGGTGAGTGGGTGAATGATAATAGAAAACTACATTGACTTTTTTCAGTTTTTATATTAGATAATTATTTCTGGAAAGCTTGTTGTCAAATTAGTATTTGGTGATAATTTCTGTGCCACTTCAGTTTTCCAAAAATTCTCTTGGCCTTCGTATAATCTTTAGTTTGCTTTGCATTTTTTCACTGCAAAAGTTTAACTTTCTGTGATCGTTTTGCTGTCTTTTTCCTGTAGATCCACCTATATCCACTAATTCTGCAAGAGAAAGCAAATCCGAACGTATTTCTTCCAAAAGTACTAGGCACTCAAGCCGTGGTGAAGTCCGTAATCGTGTACGAACCTTGTCTCCAACTCTCATGAAGGACATCAGTTGTGAAGATGACAAGGGAAAAATCATGGAAGAAGTAATGAAAACCTACATTAAACAGCAAGAAAAATTAAATACCATTTTGCAGAGGAAACAACAGCTTCAAATGGTACAGTGGCAAACTGAATAAGTTTCATTTTTATTATCTGAAAACTGATGTGAGCTGGTTATTTCTAGAATCATTATCACAGATTACTGTCATTTTAAAACTGCCAGGTACCTAGATATTTTGTCTCCATCTTGAATCCAGACACTGAATCTGTAATAACCCTTGTGCTGTTTAGATTAGAGCCCACTAATAATTTTGATCTTTTCAGTTTATAACTACTGTATTCAAGTAGCTGCTCTTTTATTTTATCCAAATGAAAACTGCTTCTTTCATGTTTCATATTTCTAAACGCTTATATATTTTTGTGAATTTAGTTCGTTAAATCCTCTAAAATTTCCCAATTTTCAAGTTTTTAAAAGTGCTGACATCAGCCTTCTAGGAATGATCTCATCACTGCCCCCTGTGAAAAAAAGACCACCTTCGTATTCTGTTTCGTCCCTTCTGCTTTTAGAGGGATTTTATTAATCTTCTTAGTCATGGATGGCATTAGAAATTGTTTTTCATTTGTGCTTTTTGTTTCATTTCTATGTTTAAAACTAGCTAAATATTATCTTAGTTTCTTGAATTCACCGACAGACACTACATATATATATATATATATATTTCATTTGAGCATTTAAAGTGAGAATCAGTGAGCTTTGGTGAATGTCTCTGGACATTATCAACAGCTTTTAAATTGTTCTAATGTTGGAGATAAAGCTTGTAGATAAGTTAATTAGATCTTTTTAATTTAAAAAGTTCAAAATGCTGGAGGAAAAAGCAAGTACAACACAAATGAAGGCTTTTTTTCTCACATTCTGTTTTTTTTCTAAAAAAGTGCTTATTTCATCTTCAAAATCTCTTTTAATGAATCAGTATTGCTGCTTTCTGTGTTTCATTTCTGGAAATTGTGAATCAGTTTCTGGAAATTCTGTGTATTTGAAAGTATGATTTCTTTATATTGAACTGAATGTTTCCAACAGAATTTTAGGCTACTACTGATACACTGCTGAATGTGCTCTTTTCGGTGTCATTTAAATTATAAACTATTTGAATTACGAGTTCTTGACTTTTCTAGAATTCAGGAGAATGTGATCATGATCTCTTTCTTGGCAGGAGGTTGAGATGTTAAATAACTCTAGAACGATGAAGGAGCTGACTGAAGAGCAGCAGAATTTACAAAAAGAACTTGAATGTTTGCAGACTGAGCATGCTCAAAGAATGGAAGAATTTTATTTTGAGCAGAGAGACCTGGAGAAGAAACTGGACCAAGTGATGAAACAAAAGTGTGCCTGTGACTCCAATTTAGAAAAAGACAAAGAAGCTGAATATGCAGCACAGGTGAGAAGTGAAAGTTTGTTTCAAAGTGAGCTATATTCAATGTATAATCTGACGAGTGAATTTGAGAGTTGCAACAACTGAACTTTTATTGGAGTGTTTCCACCACATTAAAGTTTCATCGTCTCCATGTGTTCTTGTTTGATATCCTATAAAGTAACACCATAGACTGATATCAAAGACTAATATCAAGAGAGGTCACTATCTTGCTAATGGTAGTATATTTATTTCTTTTTCCTGTGATTGAAACTGTTGTAGGGTGCAACTTGCAGAAACACTTCACCTGTCAAATGTTACAAAATTCTCTTTTCAGATATCTGAAAGGTCATATCCTCCCCATTTAAAACAAATAATGTGTTTAATAGTCTTGCCCATATTACACATTCTCATTTTTGTTATAAAAAAATAGCTTTTTCGGTTAAAAAAAAACCAAACAAACCCTCAAACACTTTTCTGTCAGGTTAGTAGCATACAAGGCTGTTCTTTGTAGTACTTAGTGCTAGGATCTGGTATCTGATATCAGTAACATCTGACGAAACCCCTTGAGTTCTTGACCAAATGCTTTGATAGTTCTCTTGGAGAAAAGAAACTCACATATTTTGGTCTCCTATTCTTGCCTCTTGAGCTCACACATCAAAATCTATGAAGATCCTTTTTTCCTTCACTGAGAGTTTTTAACATGTAGCCTTGTTTCTTTGTATTAGTGGTTATTCATGTCACACTAATGAAAAGAATCCAGTTAACACCAAATACGGTCTCGAGATGGCCCATTTTAAAGCCAGTAAAGTTATGATTAAGTGCATATTAAAAGACTTAGTACTGTACCACAGAGAACGAGTCTTTCTAGTTTTTTAAAAAAACAATCTCAAACTTAATTCAGTAAAGCTTTATAGTCATTTGCTCATGGTTTTATATTTCTTTCCCTCACTGTTTCAGAATAAGAAACAGGCAGTACTTTAGAGACAACTGTTTCTTTCTTTCGTTTTTTCTTTCTTTTTTTATTTTTTCTTTTCATTTTCAGGGAGCAGGGCAGAGGCTAGCATCATAAATCCTTCTCATGATTTAATTTCATGACATCCCACTCAATAGATTTCTAGCCTGTGCTGCCAGAAATAATCCTCTCTGACTAAGGTCTGATTTACTAAACATCTGGTGCAAGCCCTATCGCTGCAAGTAACAACATGCTCTAGTTTATGAACATAATTGTGTGCAGCGTGTTTTATATGGCTTGTAGTTTACTTTCTTAGGAGGGTAAGAGCCATAAACTCATCCACAAAGAAGTAGTTTGTTTGTTTAGTTTGTTTTGAAGTTAGACATAGAAACTCTTCCATGAAAGCTTACTCTGTTATTGACTGTGTGGTTCTGCTATTCAGAATATATAATTTGAACTTCTTTTCCCCCCATTTATCAGATCTTACAGTGGATTTTGGATCTTTGGTTCCAAACTGTTTTTGTCAAGTTGTCCAAATTGTCAGAGCCCAGTTAGACAAAAGTCCTGGCAAGAGTAACTTCCCCACGCTATATATACAGAATTTTAAAAAGCCTTATTCTGCAGTCGTCTTGGAGCATTTGTGCATTCTTCTTTCCTGAAAGTTGTGTGGTGAGGAGAAAAAAAAAAAAAAACCCACAACACTTTCTTTGTACCTTAAACACAGTAAAGATAATATGTGGTTTGGAGCTTGGTTAAATGTCTATTCTTCCTTATAGACCTGCCAGGAGATGAACTGTGTGTCTTTTCTGCACTTCTTTGTTGAGTCGGTTAGTTTAATTGCTGCTTTTCCCTGACAGTCATAATAGGGCAGCATAACCAGTACTGGAATCTTTCCTAATGGCTAGAAACCAAGGAACAACCAGAGACAGGTTTCTGTAGTACATGTATCATGCCACAACATGTAGGCGTCGAGCGCTATCATATTGCAACAGTTTGCACTGTCAAAGTATTGGAGACAAAATACTCATATTAATAGTCTATTACTGCCTAAGAATGAGTTAAATATTTATGATTGTAAAAGTGAAGGTGAATTG